CAGGACATAGTTCCAATTCTAGAAAATTTATGATCTAGAAAGGTGAACAATAAATACATAAATGAATATGCTTGGTACAATAATATAATTTGAAAAGTGCTTTGAGGACACAAATGACTAACTGTCTTGCAATGGAAAATCCATTCTAAATGACAATAATCAGCCACCTAAATCAAATCAAGTTTGAAGAGTTATCTAACGATTTTCTAGTATTATCATTATTATAACGATACTTCTTGTTCTTGGCATCTGAAATTTCTAGCTCCCAGAACTCAGGTCTGTAACATCTTTTCTTTTGTGTGCTGGCGCATTTCTAGGTGACCGCATCCTTTCATGATCTGTGATGCCCAGTTCATGTCTCTAAGCCCAACATCATGCTTGAATTCCAAATATAGAATCTCATACTGAGTACCTTTAAATTCAAATTCTCCATTCTCAGCCCAAATAGCTCCATTTTCCCAGCTGTTTAGTTCAAAAGCTTTGTGTTTGCTTGCCTCTTTTCTGTTTCTCATTCTCATACCAATAATCAGCAAATCCTGAAATTAATCACTTCTCCTCTAAGTCCTATGACCTCCTTTCTAGGAGGTCACCTGGCTTACCTTTCTCCCCTCTTCTCCTATTATTAAAGTCCTATGACCTCCTTTCTCCTAGAAAGGAGGTCATAGGACTTAATAGCTACCTAAGGGATCTCCCAGCTTCCTCTCTTGCGCCTTCTCCTAGAAAGGAGGTCCTAGGACTTAATAGCTACCTAAGGGATCTCCCAGCTTCCTCTCTTGCGCCGCCAAAAGCTATTCTCAGCACAACAGCCAGGTGATCTTTTCAAAACATTGAAGATCCATGTCCATAAACTCCATTTGGTTTCCTTCACACTGTCACTTTCATGGCCTACAAGGCCCTAGACGATCTGACCTGGCTTACCTTTCTCCCCTCTTCTCCTATTATTCTTCTTCTCACTCCCTCCACCCCAGCCACACTGACCTCCTTGCTGTCTCCTCAATGTGCCAAACAAGCTCTTACCTCATGGCTTTTGCACATGCTGTTCCCTTTGCCTGGAATTCCCTTTCTCCAGATAACGTCATGGCTTACTCCCTCGCTTTATTTGAATCTCTTCTCAAATGTTACCATCATAGCTAAAACAGCACATATATCCACTCCCCAATCTCTAACAGCTATACTCTGTTTTTTTCTCTAGTGCCTGACATTCTATTCTATTGGTTTATTGCCTTAGCTTGAATGCAAGCCTCATTGTCAGAGTCCCAGTGCCTAGAACAGTGCCTGACACACAATAAGTGCTCAATTGGATAAACAAATGAGTTACTATTATCTTAGCTATTGCAAAACTTCATAGTGTACAAAAAAGTCACAAACAATATTTTAATAATCCCCCTAACAATTTGTTGTACACACTTTAGAAGTAAGTGTCGAGTTAGATTAGTACGTTTTAAGTCCCTTCCTCAGGGTCATGCAGCTCTTAGTCACACAGGTCAAACCCTGGTCTTCTGCTTTCAAACTCAGTTTATTAATCATAAAATATTGTTAAAATATATAATGATCTGTTAGTACTCCTCTTGACATTCACTCGTAGTATCTCATTTAACTTTCACAACAATTCTTTGAGGTAGGCACTCTTATGATTGTCATTTTACAGATGAGGAAACTAGGGCACAGGTAAGTAGCTTACCCAAGGTCACGGAGCTAGTAGGTGGCAAAGTCAGAATCTGGGTCCTGGCAGCCTGGCTCCAGAAACTTGTTCTCAACCAACCAGCTCACTAGCCATAGCCTGTGAGTAAAGAGTGGTAAGTAAACTGCAGAACACCAATGGACAAGTATCAAATTTGCACTAGGACTTTTTCCTACTATGAAGCCTTTTTGCTTTCATTGTGTATAGCAAAATCTTTCTCTTTTTCTTTAGGATCATAAGGTGGAAAGCATTCATATCTCAAATGCAGTTTACATTATCTTGCTTTCTGCTTTTCATCCACTTTTAAAATGTCTAAAACATTTGTTTCTGAATTGAGAGGTCACTTAGGAATCATGGGAAGGGCTCATGGACTTCCAGCAGTTTGTCTTTGTGCCTACTTTGGTAGCTTTGTGATACCTTCATGGTCATGTGCATAGACTGATATTCCCTTAGAGCTTCAGATTCCACCTCCTCCCTCCTCACCCCATGACATGCCTTGTTTCATAAATTCTCACCTTCAATTTATCACATAACCTACTTTGTGGAACACTCAATTTCTTTCTTTTCTTTCTCTCTTTCTTTCTTTTTTTTTTTTAAAGTAAGAATCTATTTGATTGGATATGATGGCACCAGAGGCAGAAAAGTGACAAAATCTTAAATGGTGAGAAATCTATCTCAGCTACCTGGATTTTGAGAAGCAAATTGTGATTCCCTGACTTACTTTGTATTGAACTGGACAAGTTAGATGAACTAAAGAAGCTTTATTGACTTGTCTACTTGCCTCCAAGTCAATCAAATGTCTGTGAATGCTGACTATTTTCTTCTCTTTCTGGCTATTCAAATTATTAACTTAAGTGTGTGCATAAAGTTACACAAACATAGGCAGACACCCTGAAATTATCAAACCCCTCAGCTCTTAAAATAAACAAGCACTCAGAAGTTGAAAAACAAATCAACTATTTTGATTGTTTCCTAGTTCTTTGTAACATAAAAGTTCATAGCGCTTATCTGGGAATAGACTATGAGTTGCTGCCAGCCAGCATGTGATCTGTTCAACCAGGTATCCCCAATCCCTGGCGCATAGTAAGTGCTCACAACAGTAGGTGCTTAACATGGTAGGTACCTGATAAATATATGTGGAATCTCTATTACTCTGTGTTTTATTGCCTACTTACAGACTTGTGTCACACACTTCACCCCACCCCACGCACACACAAACACAATGGTGGTTTCTTAGAGAAGAGAAATTATGTCCTATTCATCTCTGCATTCCCAAACATAGAACCACTAGGTAGTAGGTGATCATTAAATGATCACCGAATTGAACTGCAGAAGGATTTTAACTTGCATTCTTTGTTTTATTGGTCCTCTTCCCACCCACTCTTGCATATTTGGCTTTCAGGCCAGAGTACCTAAAACCATAGCATCAATCTAATCAAATACTTGAAGGCCAGAGACCTTAAAATTATTCAAATCAAGTTCAAAATTACATTTTAAAATTTACCCTGGCCATTTCATAAGTAGATTTAACAACTAGCTAACTGCTATCCCAGGAGGGAAAAAAAGCATAAGCTTAATGAATTTGGTCAGACATACTGTGTAACAGATGTCCAATGTACTGCCATGAGCTTAAATCATAAATATGATGGCTCTGTTTGGCATGGCAAAAATATATTAGAAGTGTTTTATCGGTCACTGGGCAACTTGCTAGATAGAAGAGGAATGATCCTGAAAAATGCAGGAACTGAGTTTAGTTGCATCTCAAAAGGAGCCCTGGAGAAACACAGATAATCTGCCTGCAATGATTCATCAAGTTGGTCCTTTGTTTCACTAATTTGAGTGTCAAGTGCAACCATACAATAAAGAATTGCCAAGACCTGATAAGATTCTCCTCTGGCTGCTGCTCTCTCTGCCTTAACAATTGGTACTATTCAAGCCTAAAGCACAAATTGAATAAATAGCTTCAAGGCTGGCAATGTTGGACAGTGTTTTGAATTTTTTGTTTTTCCTTGTAAGTCTACATCCCCATATGTTTCTTGCCTTTCCCCGAACACATTGCATTGATAGTAACAGTTGCACCAATAATTTTAACTTTCTTAATATTAAGTATGGGAGGATGCCTCACAAGTTAAAAATAGTTCCTGTTGTATCATCGGTCCAGCCATGGATTAGTGAAGATTAAAAAAGGATTGTAATGCCTTTTTTGGCCTTGAGAAACCTCTTATTATGCCTATGGTTCAGTTGGCCTGCTGATCATTTCCATCTTAATGTAATCTTTAACATTACACTGCTGCAGGTGAGGTGTTAAGTAATATATTAAGACAACTATTCTCACGGAGCAATTTCACAAGAAATATGTTTTTAGCTAAATTAGACATTTAACAAATGCCATTTGTAATTCAACAGGGTTAGTGGAGTATCCTTTAAACAGGCTATTGGTGTGAATTTCCCAACATAAAAAAAAAACCTTTTAAAATTTTAATTGAAGTTCTGAATGTGAAATTGTGTACTCTCAGTGCAATAGACCAACCAAGGAGAGCACCAAAGGCCTTAGGAGTCTTATAAAATAAGCAGTAAGCAGTTTTATCTCTAGGAGCCAGAAATCTTTCACTAAAATTATAAAGAATCTACAGGTCCGGTTAATCATGTGGATATGATGTCCTGAATGTTTTTATCCTTCAAAACCATTTATATGAATGCTAAGAACCTCAAAGATCCAATAGCAATATAAACTGCAATATTTAAAACATACTAGATGGAAATTATGATATAAAGATTTCATGAGAATAACTGGATTTAAAAAGTAAAATTAAGGGAGAAGAGAATATTAGAAAGCTTGCAATTGGAAAACTGAAATAAGTAATTTTTTGGAAAAATTATTTTGTGACATTTTCTAATGCAATGAACATAAATACAAAAGCTATAAATAGGGCTAATGACATAGGGAAGTTGACTTGTTTTTATCAAAATCACAAAACAGAAATTTTAGTTTGCAAATTTTCAAATGGTATGTTCAGCATCGAGTTGGGTTCTTTATTATTATTATTATTATTTGATGACTTCATAAAAGAAAATAAGCCCCCGGACCAAGAGGTGGGTATACTGGCATTGTTAACTCTCTCACCCCAGAAATTCCATTGGGCTGACAAGAATATTATTTGGGGGCGGAAAAGGGGGATACAGAGGTCTTTAGGACCCAGCAGGCGGCGGCAGGCGGCAGTTGTGTAGATCGTTGAGAGACTACGAGGGTCCGGTTCAGTTTTAATTCTGTCTCTAATCTCAGCAACAGCGGCGCTTTCTGGGTCCCGCGGCTCCCTTGCCCACTCAGCCGTGGCTGGCCGCCGGGCGAAAATCAGAGCCTCCCGCGCCCCATCACCCACCATGGAAACCCTCCAAGAAAAAGTGGCCCCGTATGCGTTTGCCTGAGGATTCCGCACAAAAGAGGTGCCCAAAATGAAGACCCTAATGGTGAGTCATTTGTTGCAAATTCTCTGGGCAGAGGAGGGAACCCCTGGGCACAGAGTCCACGGGGCGCACGGGAGAGCTCCAGGGGCGCCCAAACCTGCGCTGCGAGGTCGTCTGTTACAAAGGGATAACTTTCCACCTGCTCCGCGTCCCCTCCCGATTCCGCGGTCCTGCCTGGCTAGGAATCCCAGAGCGGGGATGGGAACTCGGGTTGCCTCGGCTTCCGTATCTCAGGCTAGAGGTCCGAGAGGCCAGCGGACAGATGTAGAAGTAGTGGATGGGGTGGAAGCATTGCTCGAGGGATGGGGATGCCCAGAAGCAACCGTCTGGCAAAAAAAAAAAAAAACTAAGAGGGGACAGGAGGGGGGACCTTCGCAGACTTTCTTGGTTTCCTTGTTGGATTTCAAACTTGCAAGGATCGCTGAGGTAAAGACCCCTGGGTTCAAGGAAGGGGAGGGTGCAAGGGCTATAGATTCCAACGGGCGCGTGGGGGAGAGGGCCCCCTCCTCAAAGTGCGAGTGCACCTCTGCCCTCGCCGCCAGCGCTCTCTCCCTCCGGTAACCCGCGCCGCGCAGCACCTGCCCTCTGTCGAGAGATCTGGGAGAAGGCATCAGCCGAAAGCACCTACGCGCCGGGAGCATCCCCTGCCGTACGCACCGGGACGGTGTCGCCTCTGCCCGGGCTGCGTGCGGCCGGGGCTAGGACCCGGACCACCTGCCCCAGCACCTCACCCTCCCATCTGACTGTCTTGCCTGTGTCCCCGCCGGGTGCGCTCTTCCTGGATCGGCTCTCAGTCGCTCTTCTCTGCTCTCTCCCGCCCGCCCGCAGCGCCATGGTCTGGCAGTGTGTTTAGCGCTCACCACCATGTGCACCAGCTTGTTGCTCGTGTACAGCAGTCTCGGCGGCCAGAAGGAGCGGCCCCAGCAGCAGCCCCAGCAGCAGCAGCAGCAGCAGCAGCAGCAGCAGCGGACAGCGGCAACAGGCAGCGCTCAGCCGTCGGCAGAGAGCAGCCCCCCGTCGCGCCCCGGGGCCCCCGCGGGACCGCGGCCGCTGGATGGATACCTTGGCGTGGCGGACCACAAGGTGATAGCTCGCTTGCCAACCTGCACGCCATCCAGCCTGGGGATCCCACCCACCTGAGCTTGACCCCTTTCCCGGAGCTAGGAGGCGCCGTGAGTAGGTGCCATTCGGAGGCTGGAAGGGGGAGCGGACCCATTGAGGTGGGGTGGGATAGTTCCTACTTGGTAAGAATTCCTGTTTGGAAAAAGATGCAAAGTTTTTCAGGGAATAGAGATTGGATGAGTGGATCCCAAAGCCTAATTTTCTAACAGGGACAGGCCTTGGAACTAGAATCCTCTGATCCCCATAACTGCAGCTGCCGGTGGGTGCTGGGTTCCTGAAGCCTCAGGTTTGGCCGCCAAGTCATGCCTTGTGGGAGGAGACCCGGGATGGTGAGAGTATCAGCCTGAGCATTCCTCCAACAGCTATCCGGAGGGTGAGTAGCAGCCGGTCCGCGGCCGCTGCTCAGGCTCAAAGACGCCGCTCTGATCTCTGCTTCGGATTGCTCTAGGCAGAATTGCCACAGCCTTGGGGAGCGGTGCCTAGGCAGGCGCGGAAGGCTTGAGGCACAAACTCATCTTCCATTGGATTCTAACTCATCGTTGAGGGCCTTTTTACCTCTGCCTTCAGGGAAGCCGCTGCATGGCTTAGCTAATAATTAATAAGATTTTTCTTTTTTTTCTTTTTTCTTTTTTTTTTAAATTGAGCCTCCTTTCCCTGTCATAATGAATCCCTGGTTTCAGTATGTGAAGCCTCCGGGAGAATCCTAATCAAGTTTCCTGGTTCTGAAAAGATATTTTAATACAGTTTAAATGTATTCCCCATTATTTGAAGCTGCAAATATATTTTGATTAAAACACAGTTCCACTATGTGCCTGTTCTATAAAGCTAGAGAATTCTCGAAACCACCCAACTATTCTGCTTTTTATATTACTAGATTTTATGGTTGTGAACCAAAGTAACAGTTAGCGGGTGCTCTTTTTGTGTGAAAAGATTGTTCTGACCCTGCATGAAAAAGTCAAACATTTTTTTTTTCCTCTGAATTATTCTTTTTTAATTAGATTTGTTGGGGTGACACTGGTTAATAAAATTATATATGTTTCAAGTGTACAATTCAATAATACATCATCTGTATACTGCATTGTGCGTTTAGGGTCATAATTTATTTTAAATGGCAATCAAAATATTTCCATTCACTAGTGCAATACATAATGCTAAGGATTTTGGAGGGTACAAAAGAATTTAAGGCAGGACTCACTCAGCCTTTATGGATCTTTGAATGCCCATGGGGACTGGGGGAAGATACCATGAAATGTAAATGAATAGATAGGTAGACAGATAGATGATAGATAGATAGATAGATAGATAGATAGATAGATAGATAGATAGATAGATAGATAGATAAACAGACGGAAAGATATAAATGTATAAAAATGCAAGCTATAAACAGTACTGTCGGGTATAGAGGTGAGAATGACTGCCCTGGAAAGATCAGGAAAGTTTCTTTGAAAAGGTGAAACTTGCACTGGGAAGAATTCAGAGAAGCAGAATAGAGAGAGAGATTTCATTAAGAAGTGATTTGGGGGAGAGGTACTGGTGGTAGACTCAAAATTAGAAGTAGAGAAAACCATCAGCTATAGCCTGTTTTCTAAGTTGTTGATTGATTACATACTTCGTGTCTGCATGTGTGAGCGACCGATAAGGGCTAGAGTTCCAGGAAAGTTTAGACATCAGCATCTGACTGTGGATGGATGTGGTGTTTGTGAATGGTTTATGATGAATATATTGAACTCTGTGGATTATCATGGCTATTGTTTAGGGGAAACGGCTTTCTAGCTCTTGTGAAGCTTTGATTGATAAGGGTGTCAAAAGGTAAATTTGCTGAAAGCTTTGATGGGCCTTTGGGAAGATAGTCCTAATACTCCTTGTGTTCTTCTGCTGGACAGACAATGGCTAAGAATATTGATAGCCTAAGGCAAAATATGCCCTCATGTTTATTTTCAAAACAATGTTTATTCACACAAATATATTGGATTCCGTTTTCAATGTATCAGAGCCTTATTTCATTAAAATGAAGAACAACTATTTTTTGGAAGGAATGTTGAAACTATATGAGAAAGTGAGATAACCTGTAGTAAAAGGGTTATATAAACTGTGAAGTGTATGTGAATGATAAATATGTGTGAATGTCCTTGGAATTGTTAACAGTATTATAAATGTGACCAGGAAAATCTTTGCAGGTAATTCATACTAATGAAATTATTTCATAGAAAACCAACATCTCATAAAATTCCATACTCAAAGGGTTCAATGGGGTTTACCCCACCGCAAGCAAAGGAACAAATTCGAATCTTAAAATCTACTTCTTTTCCTAGGCATTATCTCAATCATCCCAACAGAACTAAATGTAAACTGCTCAAACTGCAATCACAGACCCTCTTTGCTCTTACTATTTAGCTGGCTAGAAATTAGGCGGAGTTCCATTTCTGATGTCTATCTGAATGAAGGTGCATGTGTAAAATGTTTATGTTCTCTTCAAAAGGTGCTGTTTAATCAAGGTTATTTGGGTTCATCCTATAGTCTTGCTTTGGCAGAGATTTGTTAGAATATTGCTAGGAATTTTTTTTTTTTCAATCAACATCTCAACATCTGGGATGGTAAAAAATGAAAGCTTTTCTATTCTTGTTAGGTTGCCAGATGATACTCTGATTGCTTTTTTGTCTTTTGGTTTTTGTTTTTTCACTATCATATCAGGCCTTAGAAAAATTATAGAATGTGCTGAATGTGATGACCACTAAGCCATATGCTGCTGCATATTGAATCAGAATTTTTTAACAGACTTTTTATTTGCCACTGATTTACAGAATCTGGAGAGAGTTACAGATATCATTTAGGAGAATGTTCTCATCTCCCTGGCCAGAGGTTCCAAAGTATGATAAATATGTAGTGTTTCTGTCTAGTGATATGACAGTATTAACATTATAACTCCAAGATTAAATTCAACAGGTGGTCATAATCCCCAGCACCTGAATTTCACAAATTACAGCCTGTCTGCAATGATAGTTTTGTCTCACATGGCTGCAGACTAAATTACTGTTGAGATTAAATCACTATGTGCCTTCGTTGAAAGACATGCTGCAAGTCAAGTCAGTGATGAGCAATATATGTGGAAGCTTAAAATATCACTTTCTATGGTCATATTCCCTATTTCCCCTTTCACAGACAATGTGAGCTGAAATTGTTAATTCCAGTAGGACTAAGTGAAGGCTACTTGGGATTTTATGTGATATTGAAGGCATTTCATTTTCTGTTAGATTCTTTCTCTTCATTTCCAACCCCTTTCCCCCAGATCTTTCCCCACAAATGTTTCACCAGTTTATTTCCATCTTAATACGAGTCTGTCATCGCAGCCACTGTGTCTGTATCTTGCCATTACTTTCCTGCTTCCTGTTTCCGGAAGCCATTGATTTCCAACCCGATCAGCCAGACACAAGCAAATAAGCCAATTTTTTTTTTTTTTTAATGGCTTTGGGAACCTTCTGTATTTAGAACTGCAACATAATATATAACCGAACTGAAACACATACATACTCTCAATCAAGCAACTCTCAGAGGGAAGCTCCAAGTCTCCCAGCAGAATGTAAGGGGGCATGGAACACCATTCTATTTCCAGTCTGGATCTGGTCTGGGTAGATAAAGTCATTTGCCATCTGGCGGACTCTGAGAAATGAAACTGTGAGCAGATTCCCATTTCCAGTGGACAGGAGCCGTTATCACAGAAGGCCCACTTGTCACCTGGACTGCTCTTTTCTGAGATGGCTTATGAAAGAACATAGATCAGTGGGGTCTAAAGCTGAGCTGCTATCTCCTCACTTCAGTAGTAACCCCCAGGAATGGATTTTACACATACCTCAAACATGCTTGTCCTTGCTTCTTTCCTTCTTTAAGCCCTCAGTTATTCAGGCAAAACAAAACTTCTTAGAGGTAATAGTATGATTGCTATTAATTGGTAGATGTCCAGTTAGAGTGATAAGACAAATCAATGCAAGAGTTGGAAAATAATTCAAAACCAGAAAAAAAAAAGGAACTTGCCATATAACTTACTTTGAAATTGTGTAATAAATATTCTTCTTTTAAAAAGCACATAAATTCTTGAATACTAGTTTATACCATTTATTAGATCCTATTTTATGGCACTTGAGTCATCCAATAAGTTATAAATGATTTGGATCCTAAATTAATTCAAAGCGAGCTAATTTTCAGTGCTCAGGTATTACAAAATATAATCTGCCAATGCCAATGATGATGAAACCTTGTTATCACAAGGCATGAACCAAAAAGAACCATGAAATGAACCATTTTTCATGGCTGATGAGCTTTTAATGGGCGAAGTTATTAACATTGATTAAAACACTTAACCTTCCTTAATTCTATGAGAGCCAGCAGTATTTATCCAGCTTCTCACAAGAGGAATCCCAAGATACCTCCATGCCAAAACCCAGGTGGATGAGTCCAAGCTGCCTCCCTCTCAGGTTCCAGGTATTCTGGCCTCCTTGCTGATCCTTGAATACTCATTCTGCCTCAGGACCTTTGCACTTGCTATTCCTTCTCCCTGGAAAGCTCTTGCCCAAGATCTTTTGCATGGTTTGTTTCTTTTGATCATTCAGTCTTCAGATCAGATGTCATCTTCTTGTGGCCTCCTGTTCAACAGTCTTTAAAGAGCCTACTCCTCAACAGTCATTCTCTACTATGTCAGCCTGTTTTATTTCCCTATAATACTTAATATCTGAAATATATTTTACTTGTCTATTGTATGCCCTCCTTCCAAGTAGAATCTAATTAAGCATTGTGATAGCAAAGTATTCGTACATCTTGTTGAACAGTATATCTTCAGGCCCTAGATCAGTATTTGGCAATTAATGGGCGCACGATAAGTATTTATTGAAGGAAAAAAGAAAGTAGGGAGTGTAGTGGGGGGCGGGGTGAAGGGAGGATGCCAACAGAGCTACCTCACCTTGTGTCAA